TAAAGATATCAAATACTCGGACCAGGGTACGTCCGGTAGTACGGACCTACGCCAGTAGGTACGTTGGCGGCAGTAACCTGGGGTCATCGACGGCACTAGTCGTGGTCTGTCGCTATGTGGCGTATGAAAGTTTTAGCAGTAATCTACGTACTTAGCAGAAGTCCGTCTAAGTCAAAGATAACGTGAGTTATGTTTGTAACATGAGAAGCACTGGCAGCAGACATCTTGCCGTTGATGTTTGACCAATCATCCGATCAGCGAGCGTCTGATTCGTGGTCGGACCATAGGAAACGAGCATCAAATTCATCGAAGCATTACACACACACACGCACGGCGCACGCACGCACGCACGCACGCACGCACACGCACGCACACACACACACACACACACACACACACACACACATACACATACACATACACATACACACATTCATACACACACACACCAGGGCCGTATCCTGCCGGGGCGTCGAGGCAAGGGGGAAACTGCCCCCTTAGATTGACAACATTATTTAAAAAATTGTTCTCTACTAAAACAGAATTGTCCGTAGTTTAGAATGAAAGCTGTACATTTACTCAATAGTGCCTCAAATACTCTCTCACTGCCATCTACATATTCAAAATTTGCTTGGGTAGGACCCCTAACTACACCCCACCTCGTTTCTCACACCCTCTTGAAATCCTGGATCCGCCATTGCCCCCTCCCCAGGCAAGATATGCTCAGCCTACGGCCTTGCCACACACACGCACGGCACCGGCACGCGCACCGCACTCGCGCACACACACACACACACACACAGCAACACACACACCAACCACACACACACACAACACACACACACACACACATGCATGACCTTATGTTGACCTGCGTTGCATGCATTTGACGATGTTGATTGTTAATAACAAATGCAAAAAGAGGGCACTTCACTCGGATGAGCTGCATACTCCGCCAGAATGTAAAACATGTTATGTGTTATGGACAGCTGCCGCTCGCTGCTGGCTGCCTGCTGACTCGACGCCTTAAGGCGAGCTGCTGCATGACTGGACGCCCTTCAAAGGCGAAGCGTGCTGCTGGACTTGAACGCCCTCATAAGGCGAGCCGTCTGCCGCTGAATCGATCGCGCGGAAACACTAGAACACACACACACACACACACAACACACACACACACACACACACACACACACACACACGCACACACGAACGCCACGAACGCACACCGAGACCGATCACATTACTTCCCCTCCTACTCGTTGCGACTGAGGTAATAAGATAACAGTTAGTTAAAATTTAATGACAGTCAAGCCATTTATTTGTGAATTTTTTGTATTCTGCGTTACATAGGGATGTCTAACTGTACACACACACACACACCACACACACACACACACACACACACACACACACACACACAGCACACACACACACACACACACACACACACACACACACACACACAACACACACAAACACACACACACACACACACACACACCCCCACACACACACACCACACACATACACACACACACCACACACACACACACGACACAACACACACACACACACACACACACACACACACACACACAACACACACACACACACACACACACACAGCCTTCGTGTACATGCCTGCGTTGCATGCGTTACGTATCGGCGCGAATTAATGCGAGCTTACATAATTATTATCAGGAGTGAATAATAGAGATTCACTCCTGATATTATATCTACCGTATATATATATATATACAAGAAAAAGAGCACTGAAACAGTACGACTTCTGTTGTTGCATTGGTTCTGCCCTCGCACCTGAAAACTACAAATGAAACACTATAGCTAGGGGCCTATACGGTGATCCCTAGCTCTTCCACGTCAGTGTTAGCTGCCCTCTTCCTCTTCAAAATCCAACGATACGACGTGCATAGACAGAATTCCAATAAATACGCGGAAAGCTGTGCTGGAACGTGGAATGTATTCCTAATAGATACACACAGGAAGATCAACTCAGATACGACACAACTAGCAACTGACCTAATATAACCCAGACCTTTGAGAGTTGATCGTTGGTTATTAAATATTATAGATCATAAGAAACTTATCAACTACTACTCACACCCGGTGCTTGTGTATCAATAACACTGCTTCTGTGTCTTACATTAGCTACTGAGCCATACATATGCATTTATACTGAGTGAAGACAAACTCTTACTTGATCACCGTAATAAATAGTCCCATCCACACGCACGCACGCACGCACGCACGCACGCACGCCCACACGCACGCACGCACGCACACACGGACGCACGCACGCACACAGCTATGTACACGTCATGCACTCACCCACGAGCCACTATTACACATATCCAACAACCACAAAACTCTCCCCTATCTCCCTCTCTCGCTCTCTTTTTCTACCTATCACTTTCTCTCTCACACACACACTCTCTCTCTCTACACACCACACACACACTCTCTCTCTCTCTTTCTCTCTCACACACACACACACAACACCACACAACACACACACCACAACACACACACACACACAACACTACCACACACACACACTCTCTCTCTCTCTCTCTCGTCTCTCTCTCTCTCTCTCTCACATACTCCCTCTCTGTCTCAACACACACACTCTCTCTCTCTCTCTCTCCTCTCTCTTCTCTCTCTCTTCTCTCTCTCTCTCTCTTTCTCTCTTTCTCTCTCTCTCTCACACACACACACACACACACACACACACACACACTTTCTCGTCTCTCTCTCTCTCTCTGCTCTCTCTCTCTCTCTCATCACCTTCTCTCGCGCGGCCTCTTCTCTCTCTCTCACACACACCTCTCTCGCCGCGCTTTTCTTCGCTCTCAATTTATGAACTGGAATTGACTATTTAATAACAGCAGTGCATAGTTGTGTACGCTCTCTGGCAATGCTCCATTAAAAGTGTTTTAATCCTAAATTGTTAGGGCTTGAGTTCTAGGTTGAGATAGGTGTTCACCAGACATCCAGAATATGGCCCACAGTATGCCCTCAGATTGCATGCGAAAATAGTTTAAATATTTCAAAAATTTTCTGGGGGCGAGCATCTGTCCACATCCCCCTAGCGCTGGCGTGCTACGGCAAACGATGGCTGCCTTAATTTAGGCAGCCTAGGTACATTTCCCCTCTGTTTATCAATTACTGGATACGCCACTGCTAAAATGCGTACTTGGGCAAAGAAGCGAAGCAGAAGAGCAGAGAGATGAGAGAGAGAGAGACGAGAGCAGAGAGAGAGAGAGCAGAAGAGGCAGAGAGACGGAGGTTTTTTCATTGGAGAGAGAGAGAGAGGAGAGGCTGCATTGCCGAAAAATAATCATGAATTTAATTGTGCAAGTTCACGTTTAATATGCTTATTTGCTTCAGTCATGTACATCCGTATTCACTTCGCTGCAGAAACACAAAATTGCGCTATTTTTGTCGAATTATAGGTCCAATTATAGGTATCCAGCCTTTCAGACAAACTGCCCATATATATAATAACATAGACGTGCGGTCATCGTGCCCAACATTACATTACGCTATACATAACTATTCAAGCCCAATGATTCGTCTTCAAACGTCAGTTTAGATCAATCTTTCCAGATTCGTTCCAATTCTTGAAGCCACAACAATACAATATTCTATCAAGAAGCAAGAATCTCTTGGTTCACATATGTCTTTTAACTGTGAATTAAACCCCTCTAGCAAGGTTAACAAACGTGTAAAGTTGCGTGGCTGTGTGTGCGTTGTGTGCGTGCCGTGCGGTGCGTGTACGATACGCCGGGCTGTTGTGTGCGGCGTGCGTGCGTGGGGCGCGGCACTGTACGCTGTTGCGTGAGAGCGTGTCAGTGTGGTGTGTGTATGTTGTGGTGTGTGTGTGTGTGTGTGTGTGTGTGCTGTGTGTGTGTGTGGCTGTGCTGTTGTGTGTGTTATGTCATGTATGTATGTATGATATGTACTGTAGATGTATGCTATGTATGTATTATGTATGTATGTATGTATGCTATGTATGTATTTTATGTAATGTATGTATGTATGATGTATGTTGATGTATGTATGGTATGTACTGTATGTACTGTATGTATTGTATGTATGTATTGTATTGTATGTATGTATGTATGATGTTATGTATGCTATGTATGTATTGTATGTAATGTATGTATGTATGTATGTGTGTCTGTCTCGCTTTCTGCGTGTGTGTGTGCTGTTGACGTAGTGTGTGTATGCAGCATGTGTCTGTGTGCTGTATTATTGTGTACGTGTGTGCATTGCGTGTGTGCGTGTATGCGCTGCATTTGTTGTGACCGTAAGCTGAGCGTGTGTGCGTCTTTATCGTCATGTGTGTGTGTGGCTTTGTGTGTTGTGGTGTGTGCTGTGTGATTCTGTGGTGTGCTGCCGCGCTAGTGCGTGTGTGTGACTTGTGCGTGTGGACGACGTATATGCGGAGTAGCATTGCGTAACGATATCGACGATCTTTGCGCGTCTATAGGCCGTTTGTTGCTTATTGCAACATGTCGAGGTAACGACGAGCTGGCTTGTGCTTGTTAACTTCTGCATGTCTGTTGTTGGAGGGTCGTATATCTATATACATGGCGTTTTAGCAGTCTGCCTACAATTTCATCCGCTATTGCCATCGCTTGTGCTACGCCTGGAGCAAACAACTCACGGTATGACAAACATCAACGTAGCGCAGTTAACCTGCAGTTGAGGCCACAACAACGCCAAAAATGCAGAGTGACGTTTGCACATACGCTAGGCGGAAAATTCAGCCAGCAAGTGGCACTTCAAATCAGGGAAGACTCTTAGTCAATGCTGTACATTCAAACAATGGTAAGTACATTTTTCTATGAAGATAGTTCATGCTCACAGCGTTCGAAGTTTTTCAAGCCTTCCTGAATATTAGACACGTTGGGTGCTGAATTCTAGCTGTATAACGCAGAATATCGATGTGTGCTAAGTATGTTAAAATAGGAGTCCGATGGAGTGTACCAGGGTCCAAGCCGTATTCGTCAAAAACCCTGTTACCGTCTGTGACATAATATATTATGCTAGTCTATTGCCGTCTATGTATTCGCGCGTGCCTGCGTCTCTCTCTCTTTCTCGCCTCTCTCTCTCTCTCTCTACTCTCTCTCTCTCTCTCTCCTCTCTCTCTCTCGATAGCGGGGGCTGGGGGGGGTTGCTGGTGCTGCGCGCGGTGGGCAGACGTGTGTATTTGTGTTTTGTGTCTTTGGTTTTGGCCGTCGTGAGCTATCGAATAATTTATGCCTGCCAGGC